TGTATGAGGTTTCAACAATGAATGCTGCTCTTCACAATGTGATGAAAGCCAACTCACACTTCACAACTGTAGATGGTAGTGAAGTGTACCCAATTAACTTCTATGCCAATCCAACTCAAAACCGTGTTTCTCTGGTAATCGACACTGGATATTCAGTGGTTGTTCCCGCGACTAACTTTGCGACTTTCATTGGATACACTGCAGCGACATACACTGCAGGTTCATATAACGGACAAAACGTGCCTCAATTTGATCGAGTACAGACTGTAATCGTCAACACAGATATCGTAAATAACCCCGAACTACCCCATGCACAAGCAGTGTACTCGCATACACCCACAGTTGCCGCCGGTAAGGTGATTACAGAGTCGGCAACATACCCAAATTGGGTGTCGGTGAACAATTCAACAATAGAGGAAATCAGTGTATGGTTTGTAGATCAAGCAAATCGACCTCTGGATATTGAAGACACGAATATGACTGTAGAACTGACTTTATCATTGCCTTGAATATTTTCGTCTCTATTGATATAGCGAATGAGACACGTAAGATCAGGATCACACCTAGGTAGATCAAATTATGCCGGACGTAGAAAAGTTTACATTGAGGGATATGGCTACATGAAAGCAGGCAGAGGTTCATTTACAGGGGTACGTGACAACACAGTGCTTCGTAAGTATGGCACACGCCATGGTGCAGGCTGGAAAGATGGTATGAAAGCCTTGGGTGCCGCATTTTTCAAGGCTGCTAAAAATACCGGTAGTAAAGCAGCAGAGATTGTAAAGAACAACCCAGAATTGGTTCAATCAGCAAAGGATGCTACAGTAAAGTTTGGTACCGAAAAGCTCAAATCACTTGGTGAAGCAGGTGCTGCGAAGATTCTTGACGTTGTGAATGCTCAAAAGGAGGCTTCAAGTGGCACTGTTAAGGAAGTGAAGCCATCCTCAACTCCAACAGCGACAGTATCAGCGCCAACTACTGGTGCTGATCGAGAAGCTAAACGCCAACAGATTCTTGAGGCATATCGAAGATCAGCACCTGCATTGGCACCACTAACAAAAACTCCAACATCAACCCCTCCAGCAGCAAAAAGCGTGCAGTCTGGTAGTGGAGCGAAACCGAAGGCAAAACGTGGAGGGAATGTGAAGTACGTTGTTGGCTAATGTCATATGGTTGCTGGGATTTCTTGGGACAGTCTGTGGCGGAATGACCTTTTTCGCCACAGAACATGCAGAGGCCGAGGGTGCGGCGACGCTCTTTCTCTTCAGGCGCGAGGTGGCACAGTGAAAAAAGAAACCGTTTTACCGGTCTACCCCGTTATGTCGAGCTCGATAAAAACGCGTCCCTGGGCTCTGTGCCTTTGACAGTGTATTGTCCTGCGTGTGTACTATCCCGATCATTAAATTTCGACCCCCCCTCTTTTTTTCACTTTTTCGCCCTCCCTGGGACCTGTGTTGCTTTCCGTCTCGCCCGCGGAATGTTCATTCATGGTACGGTGTACCGAACGTCTGATGAACACCGGGAGCGGGGGTTGTGAGTCATATCAGAGCAGCAGCGAGCAAAATAAAAAATATAAGGAAACTCAAAAAATTCACTTTTCCCGCCCAAATTTTGGTTTGGGTTCAGTCTTTTTGTGCGCATGACTCGCACACGCAGTCAGTCCACGTCCCGCGTGGCTCCCAGACAGCCCCCGGTATGGCTGCGTCCAACTTCACCAAAAAGACCGCTGCCCGTGCTGGACAAGATGCCCAGGGAGGTCGTCCGCGGTCAAGTGCTCGCGTTGCGAAATGCTGGCCTCTCCTACAACAAGATCGCCACCCAGCTTCACCTCCCACGTTCTACAGTGATCAGCATCACCCAACGTTTCTCGGGAAGGGCGACGACGAGCGACAGCCCCCGCCCCGGTCGCCCCAGCAAGCTCAAGTCATTTCACCGCAACAACATTGTAGCACAGATCCTCCTCGATGAGTCCGACACCGCACCCGAAAGTGGCCGCCACTATGCGCACATTGTCCAAAGTTCGTGTCTCTCCATGCACGATAAGAAGGGTGCTGCATGGTGCAGGACTTGTCAACGGAGCGAAGGTCAAAAAAGCCCTCTTGAAAGAGACACACAAAGAGCGACGCTTGGCCTTTGCACTCGCTCATCAGCATTGGACCGTCGATGACTGGCTGAGGGTCGTCTTCTCCGACGAGACTGCTCTCTATCTCTACAGGAACAACAACGGTGGTCGTGTATGGCGTCTGGTTGGCGAAACGTTGACCGATCGATGCGTGCAGGGCACGGTCAAGTTCGGCGGTGGCCATATCAATGTTTGGGGCGCCATCTCTCGTTTCGGAATTTCGCTTTTCTGCGAGGTCGGCGACGTCATGAACGGCGACACCTACCTCTCAGTTTTGGAGAGCGAGTTGCTAGCAAGCATTCGCGTGTGGAACAACAAAAACGAGATGATTTTCATGCATGACAATGCCCCTTGTCACAAAAGAAAAGATGTGGCGAAGTGGTTCGAAACCAATCAGATCACCGTCCTGGACTGGCCTGCGAACTCTCCCGACCTCAACCCCATCGAAAATGCGTGGAACATGGTCAAGAACAAGATCTACCAGGAGAGGGAGATCAAGAGCAAGGCCGCGTTGTGGGAACGCTTCCAAGCGGTCTACGAAGAAGTGCTCACGCCAGAGGTCTGCCGCGATCTCATTTCATCGATGCCGCGCCGCATTCAAGCTGTGATAGATGCCAATGGTGGTTATACCAAGTACTGAAGTGGAGCGAAGGCGCTGCGACACGTTGTTTGTGTGCCATGTAATGCTTTGTGAAAATTGGGCAAAAAATCCGCTCTTTTTCTGTTTTTTTGAGTTTCATTTTTGTCTGTTCTCGCTTCGAATCTTAACTCCCAGCCCGCTGCTTCACTTCTAAAATGTGTCTGGTACACCGTACCATGAATGAACATTCCGCGGGCGAGACGGAAAGCAACACAGGTCCCAGGGAGGGCGAAAAAGTGAAAAAAAGAGGGGGGGTCGAAATTTAATGATCGGGATAGTACTTGTTACAGTTATACACATCATATTTGATCATGAGCTGCGAGGTAGAGAGCCGTAGGACGACCAAAAGGCCGTTCCAACGTTGCCGGTAAACTTTACGAGCGAATTTCCAGCTCCTGCTTGCCGCAATCAACCAGCCGATTGGCACATTATATGACACTGGCCCAACTTTTTTCGACCTTTTTCCCCTCGTTTTGGTCGTTAGCATACCCTCGGCTCATTGTGACTACTTCCACCGCATCTCCCACTACCCTGCCTTGTATAAAGTACATATTTTAAGTTTATTAATAGGAGCGGCGGGCAGAGCCAGCAGCGACGACGTAGTTGGACCGAGAAGTGGAGGAATCGGCGTCGCCGGTTTTGCCCCGTTCATTCCGTCGTCTTGGGTTGCTCAGGTACCGCCTCTCCACCATTTTCTGATCTAAAATAGCAGTTTGATGGCATTTCTAGGCGGACGGGCCGAGCCTGAGAGTGGTTGGGTGAGAAACGGGTCGTTGTTGCGGTGTGTGTCGATCGCGCTCAAGCAAGTTAACATCAGCACTTCCCAACCATCGCCATTTGCATGCAACAGTAATATTTCGCACAAAATAACACTACACATTCAAAACAACGTTCGCGGAACACAGGCGGCGTGCCAGCGGGCCAATGCTGGCACGCCGATCCAGAACGCTTCCAGCAAATCAGTCCTCCTCAGCAGCAGTCACCCGCCGTCGCGTTCGACGTTGCCGAGGCGAACGAGAAGGACTTGTAACACTGAAATCGCTGTCGCCGGCCGCTGTCCAGGAGGGAAGCTCCTCGTTCTCCGAATCGTTTCCCCATCTGGCATTCGGAGGCAACGAATCCAAAGTCACCTCGTCAGTTTCAAGCCGCGGGCTGTTGGCTGCTAGCGAGCGCGGCTGGTTTGTAGGCGGGGCGCGAGCCCATTGGGCAAGCCAGGACTTGACGTGAGGGAAATCAATCTGCAACGCCCGGCAGCGCAATTCTCCATCCTGATCCATGACGAGTTGCAAAGCGTCCGCAGGCAAGATGCGATCATTTTTTGCTCTCGCGCACTCAAACAGGAATCTGATGGGTGCTCGTGCCTCTTCGGTTGTGCGATTCACGGGAACAGGCTCTGTAACAAAACCTTCACCAGCAGGAAAGAGGCTCTGCAACTTCGCCAGCTGCGGTTCAGTTGTTGTGAAATCATGTCGAAACAGCGGTTGGCTGGCTTTGGCCGAGAGTGCACGCATCGAGGCCGGCATCGTCATTGGCTCTGGCGAGGACTCCTCGCCGCAAGTCAATACCCAGGCCGAGCTTGCCCCTTCTGAAGATGCAGCGGCTGTAGCTTCATCCTCGTCTGAAAAAGAGTCGTCTGTGGTAGCCACTTCTTCCGCGTTGGAGGCAGTTGCCGATTGCGTGCCCATCAATTCGCTTCCCGGGTCGTCTTCAGGAAGCCCTAGTTCAGCATTGGAGGCGACCGCACAGTCTTGGATGTGACGACTCAGCCAGGCAGAGCTTTTGTACAGCTTGCTGCACTTCGGACATTGGAGGTTGGGAGATTTGCTCGGAGTGGGCGGAGTGAAAACAAGTGACTTGCGCGTCTTGGACTGGGGTCCACACGTCTTGGTCCCCTTCATCAACACTGGCGCTGCATTGATGGTGTGGAGCATCGTTGGTGTGAATTGAAGGGAACCGTTCAGTGGGACTTGATTGGATGGAGTGCGTGGTGAAGCTGGAGAAATGGCAGCAGTCTCGGGGGTCGCTGCACCAACGGCAGCGGTCTCGGAGGTCGCGGCAGAAACGGCGACGGTCTCGGACGTCGCGGGAGAAACGGCGGCGGCCTCGGACGTCGCTGTACCAACGGCAGCAGTCTCGGGGGTCGCTGGAGAAACGGCAGCAGTCTCGGGGTGGGAGTCTCGTTCACGCCGAATCTGGGCGTGGTGTTCGGCGTTGTTGCTCCAATGCGGACTGTTCTGCTGGCCAAGGGTCAGGTGCGTCGAGAAGTCGTGGCGATAGACTTCTCGCAGCCGCTCGCCAGTGTACTCGAACAGCATGCAGCGGTCGCTCAGTCGGAATCCCTGCATGCCACCGTTGTTTGTTGTACACGATGTGACCTGCCTGATCCAGAGTTGGGATACTCTTTGGGACCTTTTGAAGGCGGCGACGCGTCGCTTCGTCAATGTGCAGCTGGTGGACAGTCGTTCCTGGCATCGTAGCGAGCGCTGATACGTGTCCAGTCAGCAAATGCAGCCATAATCGATTCAAACAAATGGAATACATGAAATACAAGGCCCTACCTTTTTCGACATCCATGCCGTTGTTAATTGAGTTGCCACCTTTCATGAACTCGCTGAACTTTGCGCTGACGTGCGCAAAGTGAAGGTCGATGCGTGACTTGCCTGTTTGAAATGTACAACTTATCAGTACGCTTGAAGATTCGGGGATCGACAGCTCGACATGCTCCTCACCTTCACCAGCCTCGAAGTGCCAAAGGTCGGTGATGTCGAAACTCGCTTGAGTATGCATCTTACTGGATAGGAAGACGCTGAATGGCGAGTTGACGTAGTGTGCACCTGCGTCTGTAACAACAGAGGCAGTATTGATTCTGGGACGAGCGGGCGGTGAGAGAAATGCGACAAACAGTTTTCGCGACAACACTGCTCTTACGGTGGAACTCGTCCCTCTGTGATCAGCGAGTTGATGACTGCAAACACAGCTTGCAGATGATGGATGATCAGAATCCAGTCCTGTTTTTCATCGGGCAGCCAGGCGTCGAAGTGAAGCATGGCTACTTCGTTCGTGCTGGGTTGACGGAAAAAGAACACTATTCCATGAAAAGAGATCCCAGTTTTCGCGAAAAAAGCTTGGCTGCTCTGACGATAGTTATCTGGCATGATTTTCATCTGTTAGCAGGAAGAAGGACGACAGAGTTTCGAAGCTCGTTAGGACAACAGATCGCGGAAAGTTTTTGGCTGTTCGAAACTCACTTTGAAATCACACAAGAACACAGCTTGACCGGGACCTAGGTTGTTGATCGTCTTGTTGATGAGGGATCGAGTATGAGCCGAGCGGAGAAGGTGCGCCACCCACTGCTGAAGAGTTTGGCATCCTCGCTCCAGGATGGTCTGCATATCGGCGCATTCGCCGGGGTTTTGAGGGAGATGGGCGTCGATGTGCAGGCTCAGATCGGCAAGGGTAGTGAGGCCTTGGGTGCAGATTGGGCACGGCTGGGGACTGCTGAGCACGCCGAGGTGGTGCTGCTGCTGGCAGTCGTCCAACCCGAATGCGAGGCAGTGGAAGGGGTGGTCGTAATGCTTGGTTGGATCAGCTGTCAAAGCGAAAAGATGGTCCCTCAGCCCTTGTAGACGCAGCCCTGCCGTATGTGCGTCCGGAAAAGCGATCGTCAATCGTTCCAGTTCTTGCAGCAGAAAAGGGATATCCTCGCTAAAAACCGCGAACGCTCGGTGGCAGTTGCCGCAAAGTCCGTTTTCAGGAACACGCCGCTGGAATATAAACTCTCCTGCGTGTAGAGCGCGCTGGAACACGCTCCAAGAGCACAGGAGGCCGTTTTTCTGGGCGTCTTCGTGCATCTTCCGCATCGATGTTTCCAGGTAGACGATAGGCTTCGCCTCACCAGTGACAGGGTCCACCTTTGTCTTGTGAGCACTGGGAACTGAGTGATCCAGCGTGAATGCGCGGACGCTCGCATCTAGAGGGCGCGACTTGCGCGGCGTGGCTGGCGTCCGCTGAGCGATTTGGCCAACTCCATAGTGCAGATTGTTCGCGCGCGCCTGTTGCACAGCGTAGCGCGTCACACCGGGCATGGTTGCTAATATGTCCTTGGTTTTGTGATGGGCGACCGTTCCAAGAAGCTGCGGTGTCTGGTCTGGAAGAATGGGCAGCAGTTCTGCTGTGCACTGCAGGCGGATCTGGGCCACTGTGCCAGCTGTGACAGATGGCACGTATTTCTGCGCAGCAGCCTGAGCTGTTTCGGCAACCAGAGCGTCGTCATGGCCATGGACCTGCGCGACAGCAGCGACGAGAGCTTCGCAGCCAAGCTGCACCGCTTCCTCGCGCCGGCGTTTCGCTTCACGGGAGCCGGGGACCAGATCCTCTGTGGCCTTTCTGCGCGATCTGACGGGGGTTGCAGCTGCTTGCAATGGTACAGGGATAGGCTCGGATGTGGGAGCTTCAAAAGTCAAGTAGGCGGCAGGCGGCGCGGGACTTGCAGCCGCGGCGATGCTCTGCCGCCGGCGGGGCTTGCGCGATGATGCTTGAGCCTCTTGAAGTGCATGGAGGTGCCTTTGGACGGCTTTGATGGCCTGGTAGATGGCAGAGAAGTGAGAAGATTTTCGCGCCAAAACACTTCGGCACCTTCACCCCCCCCCCCTGCCTTCGCTTCTGCGTACTTGTTGCTCCCGATATTCATCTCGGCGCTTCATTCGTAGTCGTTCAGCCGCTCTGGCATTGTTCACCGGATCAAACACACTTCGTTTGGACCGAACCATCAACGATACAAAAGTTTCGGAAAAATCGATCTCACACGGCTGCTGCTCGGCCACGAAAAAAGACTGCATATGATAACAGGTGATAAAATAGGTCGGCGTCTGCAATGGCAGCGGTGGACAGTGAATAGAACTCTCAGGGCAGCGTTTCTAGAGGTTTTTGGGCCAAAAACAGGGTATAAAGCTCGTCCAAAAATGGAAGTTTTCGCTCTTCAATTCCACCTTTTCGACCACCCCAACGATTCTCGGTGCGCTACCCGCCCCAAATACTAGACGCTACAATAAAATCGTATTGTCAACACAGTGTGGGGGTAGAGAGGGAGCCAGATCGAACTGGCTCGAACTTTTTTTCTCGAAACCGACAAAGGTCGAAAAAAGTTGGGCCAGTGTCATATTCTAGAGATTAATTATGTGATTGTCAGACTGACGGGACGTCAAAAAGTCTTGTGACGTTTCACATTTAGGCACTGATGCATCAAGTAGCGGTTTGCCCAACCGGACAACAGTTGAGCCGTCACTGTGCATCTTTCGCACCTGACGAGGTTCGATTCCCTGCTTTTGCTCTTTTTGCCTTTTTTTTTTTTTTGACAATGGAAAAAGCAATGCGCTCAAACAAAAAAAAAGAAAAGAAAAAAAAGAAAAAAAAAAGAAAAAGAAAAAAACCAATGTCACTCCAATGGTTTTATTTTGTTTTATTTTTATTTATTTTATTTTATTTTATTTTCTGCACCACAGTCTTTGTATTTTTTTATTTACTTTTATTTTATTATTTCATTGCAAAAAGCATTGTATTTTTTTCTTTCTTTTGATTTGCAAATGTCGAATCAGCACCAACAGATTCCGAGCGAATCGTATCTCTTCGCAGTGCGGGAACGTAAGTAATGACCAATTACAATCGTTCTCCTCCTGAGAGAGCAATTCTTTCAACACACATCAGAAAGAACAAAGAACACGCATGGTGAAAGAAAAAAAAAAGAAGAAAAGCAAAAAGCGCGCGAAAACGAACTTTCAGTTTGCTCTCGGTCCTGCAGATCAGCAGCCGTTCGCCGGAGCGCGCTGCCGCCAAGCATATTGTAATTGTCATGGCTTCCTTGACGGAATTGCGTCGCGATTGGCGTGAATTCGGGGAACGCGGACGCTGGGGAGGGTGAAAAGGGATTTTGAGCTTCAATTTCAATCCAGTTTTTTGAGAGCACGGTGTTGAAACTGATAGTAAAAGCGCGGGAAACACACTGTTCTTGAGATGGTGAATTTTCAGCAAACGAAAATTCAACTTGGCTAATTTTTTGATTGGGTTGTTTGTTTGGATGTGTGGATCAGATCAACAAGCAAGCCTTGAATTTATTTCAAGACTGTCAGCGGAGAACGGAGGAAGCGTCTCTTCTCTTGTCGGCAGCGGATGATGTAAGTCTGCCGTCCGTAGCGTTCGCTCTGGTCAACAATGAAGCAACCACTCTTCCAGCCACTCCAGTCGTGGCGGATGCGGCAACGGCAATGGATACAAATGCACGACCAGCAGGAACAACCACTCTCCCACCTTCGACCGCATCCTCCAGCACTGTGGATGTCGACACGCGGGACAATGCGACAACCTCAAGTGCGCCCGTTCACTTTTCTGCCCGTCCCAACACCTGCACCGCTTCCCGTGTCTCGTTCTCGTTGTGCATTGGCTTCATCGCCATCGAGACGCAATGGCTCGAGATGGTTCTCGCTATCGCGGATGCTCTCGTTCACGACAGCACCGCGATCAGCGAGCAATGAATTTATTTATGGCTCAAAAAAAATAAAAATAAAAATAAAAATATTATTAATCGAAAAAAATAATAATAATAATAAATAAAAAAAAAACCTGGAGGCGTGAAAAAAAGGACGGAGGAATGTTGTGGTCTCATGAGCACGGCTATTTGCCTTTTTATGGCAACATCGAAATCTCCGTGACCGTAATCCATGTCTATCGAGTCAAAAACGCCAAAACCCATCAAAATGACAAAAAATACCGCGGTAGCTTTTTTCACTGTGTGGCCGTTCTGGAGATTGAGCGAAGGCTTGGACGGAGCAGCGGCCGGAGGATGGGGAGTGCCAGAGGAAGACGAACGATTGGAAGAATTGTTCGGACGAGAAGAAAAAGGAGAATTGGCAGAGCGGTGACTGGTAGACGAGTCAGGGCCTGCACGAGGGTACTTGATGCGCATGGTGGCAGTCGCAGAAATCTCGTTGAGGTAGTGATCAAGAGAGAGGTCGTGGTTGGCACGGAGATGACGGGACTCGAGTTGGAGACGATCGGGCAAGAGGGATTCGACGACGTGGAAGAAGGCGTCGGTGCCCAGAGTCACAGTGGAAAATTTGTTTCCGAATTTCGGAAGACAATCCTCCGAATTTTGCTCAAAATTCGGAAAACCGAGTTTATTATTTTTCCGGTGCAAAATTCGGTGCCTCAGCAGAGCGAGAATATGGCGATAGCTCGACGTCTGATTGGTCAGAATTTGCTTTCTTGGTCTCCTTTTATATTATTAAAAATGATTTTTTTTAATTTTAATAAAATTTATTTTATTATTGGTTTCCATATTTGCACAAATTTACAAAAATCTCAGATCGCCCCCGCCTGCACCTTGCTGGTGCTTTGTACTTGCCTTTGGAGGGCGTGACTGGTAGCACACTGGCCAAGCATCTTGCAGCCCCGAGCTCCGCTTTGCTCCTTTCCGCATCTGTTCAAGTAGGAATCACAAGTTAGTCACTGTTCTGTGTCATATCATGCATGACAGCTGACGGCGGGGACTTACACGTTTGCTTCAACGAGACACGTTGTCTTGCTGGCCGAACATTGCGATTGACTCCGTCTTGATCATCAGTTTCACACGCCTGCGACACATCAGCTCACAGTGAGTATTTCGTCTGTTGCGTTCTCCAAGCGAACAGTATGCGTACCGTGTTCAGCACCACTTGGACGGAAAGAAGCTTGTGCGATGTGATGTGACGAGTGCGAATCTCAAGTTTTTTTCGCAATGTTCTTGTTCTTTGCAGCGTAGTGCTTGTTTGACTTGATCCAGCTCGACAGCCGCCGCCCGCTGAAGCGCGTCAATGACAATCTTGGACATCAAGTGGATGCTGTGCTACTTGTGATCATATTCCAAGGTGAGGCTGGAGTGCGAGACAAGAAGAAAATCATGTGATTTTGGGCGCGAATTTTTGAAAAATGCATTTTCCCGCCAATTCACGCCCTAGCTGATTTAAAAAATTGCACTTTCTCCCCTTTCTATCGCGCTTCTGCAGTTCCTTCGCATCTCTCTCGTGTCGTCCTTGTGTACCCATGTGAGATGAGTGTTTTCCGCGCATCCGCGCAGTCGGCATCGATCTGCAGACAGCAGAACGACCGCATCTTTCTTTTCGTTTTTTTCTTTTTTATGGCGCCTTTTTATCTTTTTTTTTCTTTTTTTTTCTTTACCTCCATCCTCTTGTCCTCCTGACATCAGCATCGCTTGCGTGCGTTGACTGTTGCACAGTCAGAGAGAGGTAAAGGTCAATGACAGACAAGCACCACAAGCCGCGCGACGGCTGTGTTCGCCTTCTTCTTTGCTTTTGTTTTTTATCTTTTTCTTTTTGTTGTGGCACACTCACAAATGTCACTGCTGGCCATCTCGATCTGCACTCGATGTAAAATAATAAATAAAATAAATAAAATAATAAATAAATGGTAGACTGAAGCAGTGACATTACAAAATAAAATAAAAAAATTAAAATAAATTAAAATAAATTAAAAATAAATTAAAATTAAATTAAAATAAAATAAAATGTAACATTAAAAAATACAGTATTGTGCGTCCGAAGATGAAAACTGCAATATGAGTTTGGAAATAGAAACGGACGATTTGGTTTTTAAACATTTGAAATGGTACAAATTTGTAGTGCGATTTTGGACAAAATGCTATCGATTTGGTTTTTAAAAACACGAAACTGTCCAAACTGCGCCCGAGTTGGTTTTTGCCAAGATAAGGTCTGGTTTTTTGGCGCGAAAACTTTGGAATAAAAGCTTGAAACTGAAAATTCGCACTCTTGGTTGGGAAATTGCCACTTCATGTTTGGGATTTGCAAACACCCCCAGACGAACCTGCTCTGTAGCCATGCCCAAACGTCAAAACGAGGCGCAGGCCACCGAATCACGCGCGCCGCGGAAGTGTGTCCATCTAGAAAACCCCGAACGGAAGCGGATCATCGACTTGGCTGTTGATCGCGCCTTGCCTCTCGTCACGGTCGCCAGCATGCTCCATCACCCCATCAGCACTGTGTCCAACGTAGTGCAACGTTTCAAGGAGCGCGGAGAGTGGACGTCACATCACGTCAATCCCAAGGGATGCCGTGTGCTCACAGCGGAGCATCTCCATTTTCTCGAGATGGAGCTCGACAAGAACGTCAATGTGACCAATCAAGAGCTCCAGGACCTCCTCCTGACGACATTTGGCATTCAAGTGCATCAAGCAACCATCGGGCGTGCCATGTTACGACAGGGCTTCACGTTCAAGCGCGTGTATGAGCAGGTCAAGGTGAAAAATTCGCCTGAAATCAAAGCCCAACGCAAGAAATGGGCTGAGCTCTTCGAGGCTTTCCAGACACCTGTGGATCGCTTGTTCTACGTGGACGAGAGTGGATTTAATGCGAATCAGCATCGAACGCGAGGTCGATCTCGCAAGGGCGCGCGCGCAATCGTTCAAGTTGGCAGTATTCGTGCAGCGAATTTCACGCTCATTGCAGCGATCGGAATGAGCGGCGTTGTGTTGAATGAGATCCAGCTCGGAGGCGTGACTGGCCATGTCTTTGCGGAGGCGATGACGAAGCTGTTTGACACGCTCGAGGCAAAAAAAGCCGTCGACACCGCCGCGTCTGGCATCGCTGTGGATGAGCTCCCAGTGCAACAGCTTGAGCCCGACCTCCCCCTTACAAACATGGTTGAGGACAGTGTGTCGATCAGTAATGCAGTTCACATGCCACTGCTGACGTCCGGTGCAGCGTCGTCCCAACCACCTGCCCCTCCCGCTGCAGTTGTGTCGTCTGCTGCGTCTGCAGCTGGCGGGTCAGCTCCTGCTTCCACCTCTGCTTCCACCTCTGCTTCCACCTCTGCTTCCACCTCTGCTTCGACGACCAGAAAGAAGCGCCGTTCTCGTCGCAGGATTCTCGACGATGATGACAACGATGATGGCGGCGTCTACGTTCCACCACACGAAGAACTCATTCAAGACGAGATTGATGAGCACAATGACAATACTTCCTATTTCGTACCGAGCGAAGAGCACCCAGGTGTCAGCTTTCCGGGACATCATCGCTACAAAGCCTGGATCGTGCTCGACAACGCGCGCATTCACAAGACACCCGAAGTGCGCGAGCTCTTTGCACGCCGCGGGTATGGGATGCTCTTTCTGCCTCCGTACTCATCGTTCTTGAACCCGATCGAGTATGTCTTCAACCAAGTGAAGGCTGCGTTCAAGCGCTCCCGGCTGGAACCGAACGAAACAATCTCAAGTCGCATTACCGCTGCTGTTGGTACCGTGACGGCAACGCATTGCCAAAACACTATCACACATGTTCAGCTCAAGTACTTTAATGCTTGTCACGAGATGCACGATGTGCTACAGTAGATTAGTTGGCGTGCTCTCCTTCGAAAGCTCCCTCAATGGCTGTTTTGGGTGGTCGTTTGATGTGATCGTCCGTGTCATGTTACATGTACAAATACTGTATTGTTGTACATCCATTACAAATCATGTTTATTCTGCAACAAGCATCTGCCAAAGACTAGTCGATGGCTTTCAGGAGAAAACCCCACAGTCCGGTCGGCCTTGCGTCCTTTCTTCACTCTACCCGTAAACCTTCATAAAACAAACATAGTTAAGCCTATTTATACATGCATGTACATGTATTGAGCGTATGCAAGCTGGAGCGCTCCACTGTGGAGTGCACATTGCGTTGTCACTGGTGCTGCAACTGGCTGGCCGTTAGGAATGATCGGAACAATCCACTCGGCATACGATTGCCACCAATTTAATGACACTATGATAAACTATGCAAATGCTAATGCTTACACCGAAATAGCTCGTGAGTACGAGCCCTGGGTGGTAAAGACGTCGCTGTGGAAGTAATTCATAAAAACTGTAGCTCGAGTTCTTCCCGAGCCCTAGCTTTCCCGCTACTCACCCCAGCATCTAATGACCTTCCAAGATACATGATTCAATTCAAATACTTCCTGAAGTTGTTGGTAATTCTAACATCTCAAGTGGGTTAATTCGAAATACAAGCTTGCAAAAACCAACTCGTTGAAAACCAAATCGAACGCACAAAAACCAATTACGGAAAAAACCATTTTTCTCGCACTTTCAACCAAGCTACTTTTTTCCAGTCCGATTTTCCTCACTTCGTCCGCTCTAATTTCCAACCTCGCCTGCTGTGATTTCAACCTCGACTGCATAATACTGTAAAAAATAAATCAAAAAAGAAAGCGCAACCAAACAGGTTCGAACCCAGTAGCAAAAAGAAAGAAAAACCATCAAGACGCTTGGTCTAGACAGCTCGAAGTCCACGCTGGGCGAAATGGGATTCGATCGCAGGCATGAAACTACACTTTCTCATCCTCCTCCAATCGCGCGTATCTCGATTGGACAATATGTCATAACATCTCAGAATACTACAAGTCGAGAAAAGAAGCACGAAACACCGCGAAAAGACACGCAAACGGTGAGCACAAACTCACTCGTTTCGTGTTATCGCCTGTCCTGTCGCTGCATTGGCCTCTTTTTCCCCGCTCGCTGCTTTGAATAATACTGGATTGAGTGGTCAACCTAATGCCATGTTGTACTGTGGTGTGCGGGGCGCGGTTTCTGTCATTTTCAAGCGAACATTCGCGAAAAATGAAGCCGGCCGCAGGCGTTCTTTCAACACTATGTTTCCGTGCTGTTAACTGCCACTGGACTGAAACTGATGCGACATTCTTTGAGCATAACCACACGATAATGAATACTCACATCACCACCCTTCACAATTTTTATCGCAGGCCGGTATCAAGCTCGCGGAAGCGACACCCATCGTTGCAAACAACGCAACAACCGATCAACGCTCGTTTTTCAGCGCACACCGCACGCTTGACGTCAGCGTTGACTTGTATTACATTTGAATGATTTTTGACACGCATTGATGTGCAGCGAGGACCGAGTGCCGCAAGACTGCCAGCGATACAAGTAAGGGAAGTGACCGATTTGAGCTCACTTCTGTTTTTACGTCTCAAGATTGGCGTGGCTGTATCTGCACCCAGTGCGCAGCCGCCGTTGAAGCGGATCCATGACTGGTTACAAGTATGGCTGACGCTACAGACAGACGTCGCCATCGCAAGCGCTGTCTGCCCGCTGACAAGAGGCTGGAACGGCACCAAGTTGGCCATGCCCAGAGCTGCTTCCAACTCCAAAGCACTTCATCATGATTCCATGGCATTTGAATACGTGTGAATAGTGTATCAATTGTATTTGTAGCGAGAATGAGAGATATCCTAAGTGAAGATTTGGTGCACCGGTGCTGTCATTGAGTGGTGGCTGCGAAGTTGTGTCAACAGCGCTTTCCTGCGTCTGTGCGACCGTCCCCGACCGCCCCCGCATCAGAAACAAAGTGCCACAACTGTATCACGTCACTGGACATGCAAAGGCGCGCGTTGACATGGTCTGGGGAGCAGTAGCAACGAGGAGCGCCAATCGCAATGGACCGCCAGCCAATTCCCCTCCTCATCGTTTCGCGTTCCAGGACAGTCCCCGCCGTCCAATTTCCACAAATATGCACTGCAAACAACATAGAGAGAACCCTCCTTCTAAGAGACAAAAACTGGTGACCACCCTGCACCTGGCTCTCTTCATATTCTTGTTCAGTATTATTAATATAGACGATGTGCAAAAAATGGCGGCGGTCGGAGCAATTTGAAATTTTGACTTTGCATTGACCTTTGGCTGGGCGCGAAAAATCTTGTCCCGTAGATGGAGGGACAACCTCCGCAGCGCTCCCGGCACCTTCCCGCCCGCCCCCGACAGTGGACATGCAGCGAAGATGCAAATAAAATCGATATTGTCCGCATTGGTGGTCGATAGGGTCATGCTGTGGGTACTTATGGCCGGGAGCGTGCGCGGGGTCGAATCGGGACCAAGAATTATCGTCGTTTAATCAACCCGAGAACAATAACATACATAAAATTGCACATAAAGTCATACATTTAACACATTTAGTTCGAATTGGAGAGGTCAGATAGCGCGAGTTGCTTCCGGCGATCGGTTTTCGGGGTGGATGACACATTTTCCTCGGTTGACACAAGCTGCATCGCCGCCATGTCGTTTGTCAGCCAGCTGCTCACGCCACTTGTGTTGGCACGACTGAGTGTCACACCTGGAGACAAAATGAGCCGCGATGAGCTGCGAGTAGCAAGACGGGGCTCCTTCAGCCGCTCGAGAGATCTTGACGACAGTGAATAGGTCACATTCTCGTCCGACCCGCCACTCTGGGCTGTTCAAATGATGG